TATATATATATAATATATATTATATATATATATATATAATATAATATATATAGTATATATATATATGTATATAACGTGTGCGCGCGCGAAAGCGTGGCGTGTGTACGTGGTTCATATGAGTGTGTGTTTTGAATTCAATGTTATGCGAATAATTGCAGTCAATTCAACCGAAATATATAATGCTGCTAATTACAGATTTTTAGTTGCGGCAACGACTAAACCAAGCACAAGCCTAATATACTAAGGGCAAAAAGTTCTGCGCTTGTTGCCGAATAGTTTCTCACTAACACGGATGCGGCAACGCGTTATATTAACTCCGGCCCTAGCAATGTTCCGCCGCTTTCAGTTCGGAAATAACCAACAGTATTCCTACAAGCCAGTGCGCTGTAATCGAAGACGCTCACCAATAGAGAGTAAAAAAACGATACTTACTTCGCAATGTAAGTAAGCAGCACTTCTGCACCCGAGCAAGCCTGTAACCTATTCAAATCCGTGCAGACATTTCATGTTCAATATTGAGAATAATGCTTCTGCGCGCTGGAAGAATAGACAGCACATATTAAACAGATGAGCGCATATTACGATGGCAAAATAACACGCAATAGCAACACCAATACGGATGGGCGGCGCGAACAATAATAGACGGCGCAGCATTACACGCATCCTCCTCCTCCTCGGTATGCAGGATTCCGATATTGGAACGCGAAGGCGGCCGAGTCACTCTATTAAAAAGTTTAGCGAAAAAATACGACATAATCGATACGAGATTAGAACGAGCAAGCGATTGAGCGAGAGAGAAGAAAGAAGAAGAGAGAGAAGAGTAGAGAGAGAGAGAGAGAGATGAGAGAGAGAGAGAGAGAGAGAGAGAGAGTAGAGAGAGAGAGAGAGAAGAGAAGAGAGAGAGAGAGAGAGAGAGTGAAGAGAGAGAGAGAGAGAGAGAGAGAAAGAAAGCGCGCGCGCGCGAGAGAGAGTAAACGAAGAGAGATCTAGACACGACCACGACGAACGCACGCGCTCGCTGATCTACATGCAGGGCGTGACTCGCATGCGCTGTCACTCGCGCGGCGCCTACACACACACGCGGCGGCGGCAACGACGGCTGCAAATAAACAGGCGAAATGATGAAGCCGAAACCATCAATTTTCACATCGTCATTACGACACGACCGCGCGCGCCGCTCGCGCCGTGCGATGATTAGCTTCGCATATCGGCTTTCAGCCGCTGACGACCACCGCCGACGTGCGCTCTCGACAAAAGTTGCGTCGCTACAAACAGACTGCGTGTAATCATATGCCACTCGCGCTGATGGCCGAACTTTCGAGCAAACAACACGCGGGCAGCATGCAGGGTGATGATGATGGTGGCGGTGAAGGATAGATGGACGCACGGGAGGCTGCGCAAACAGGCAGCGTTACTTTGCTGATACCTCCTGCTCTTCCTCCAATCTTCATCAGCCCCCAAAATTACCCTGTGTAACACCTCCTGCCCCAACCTCCATCGTCCTGCAAAATTAACATATTAATAATGTCTCCCCCCTAACCTTCATCGTCCGGCAGAATTATCCTGTTAATGCTTCACATTAAACCTTCTTCGTTAAGCAGAATAACCATGGCAATACCTCCTGCCCCAACCGTCACCGTCCGGCCGTATTAATATATTAATGCTTCTTGCTGCAGCCTTCTTCAGCCTCTAGATTTACCCTGGTATTACTTCCCTCCCATCCGTTTATAGTTCCACAGAATTACTCTATTAATACTGTCTCCCCCAAACCTTCATAGTCCGGCAGCGTTACCCTGCTTATACCTCCTCCGCCAATCTTCATCAGCTTCCAGAATTACGTAACCTGTTTACTTCCTCTTCCCTAACCTGCATCGCCCTGCAAAGTTACCATATTAATACTTCCTCAATAAACCTTCACCGTCCGACAGAATTACTCTATTCATACTTCCTGCTCGAACCTTCATCAGCCTCCAGATTTATCCTGTTAATACTCCTACGTTCCCTAACCTTTATAGTTCTGCAGAATTACTCTATTGATACTATCTCCCGCAACCTTCATTGTCCGTTACCCTGTTAATACTTCCTGCCCCAACTTCCATCGTCCGGCAGAATTCCCCTATTAATACCTCCTGCCCCAACTTTCATCGTCCGGCAGAATTCCCCTATTAATACCTCCTGCCCCAACTTTCATCGTCCGGCAGAATTCCCCTATTAATACCTCCTGCCCCAACTTTCATCGTCCGGCAGAATTACTCAACTCTCACTAGTAACCATCACTGACCGTTACGGCAGAATTTCTTATTCGTATGCAACCCTTACCAGCCGGACAGCAGAATTACCCTGTTACGAACTGCTCCAACAACTTTCACCGACTCACGCCCAACGAAACACAATTGTTCAGCGAACGTTTTCAATGACGAACGTTGCGGAATGAAATCGTCACAGTTCCTCTGACACCTTATACTAAGCTGAGTCGCATCTGAACGCATTCTGTGGCTAGAGCCAGTAGAAGTAGCATTATCTCAGCCTGTTCTGCTTGCATCTATGACAAATACGACATACGCATATACGCTCTCCTATGACACTATTTGTCATAGAAAGATTCTTCCTATGACAAATATTATTGTATGTGTTGTGCGCATCGTAGGAGTTTAGGAGCGCTATTATGAACACAAGCAGTGAATTTCAGCTGTAAAGCGGAACGAAGTTGACTCGCCAATATTTGTTATAGGAAGAATCTTCCTATGACAAATAGTGTCATAGGAGAGCGTATATGCCTATGTCGTATTTGTCATAGATGCAATCAGAACATGTTGATTATTTAGAAGTGTTGGGTTTACGGAGAAGTCCAGCGCTCAAAGCGCCACGGCCTTAGCTCTTCGCTTTGTTTCTACGTGTCTAACCTCACCAGCTAATAAATTTAAAAGCACCGTTCACCCTAACCCTAACCCATACCGCCGGCCCAACGCTTTTGGAACATATCCTTCTCCGGATCAACACAGTTACAACACAGGAAGACACGCACGTAGTCACGCACGCACGCACGCATACACACACATGCACGCACACACGCATGAAAGAACTCCCACACACAAGCGCGCTCACGCACTCCCACACACCACGCACGCAGACGCACGGATGCATGCACGCACACGCACGCACTCCCACACACCACACACGCAGACGCACTCACACACATGCACGCACACGCACGCACTCCCACGCACCACGCCGTGTCGCGGCTCGGGATGCATTCATCGACGTCCATCCTATTGACACGCCAGCGAAAGTAAAACAGCGGCGACAGTGCGTCCGGGAGATGTGGCTCCACACGCCGACTTTAGAAAAACAAACCCGCACTGCACGGCGCAGCCATTGTGCGTCGGCAGCGAAAATAGCGAGTCCGTGCATGCGCCGTGAGCGGGGGCATGGGAACACGTCGGCGCTGCTCGCGACAGCCCGCCAGTAATGGCCGCCGCTCGGCCGCCGACACAAAGCGGCTCAGTGTGGCCATGTTTGCTCAGTGGCCGGGCCGCCATCGGCGCTCCGACAGCCCGGCCCATTCAGCGTCCGCGCGCGCACACACACAACGATGCACTTTAATTATTTAAATGGACGGGTCAGTTTCCTCTGCGAACGCATTCTCGTGTGAACGTCCACGGCGGCAGCTAGCGCTCGTTGACGGTGCCGACACGCGAACGAAACCCACCGATATAGGACGAGCGGCGAAACGTGACCCGAGAGTTAAGGGGTCACCACGCCACGCACAGAGGTATCATGGCAGGTATACGACATATCGATACCTTACCCGAGAGTTAAGGGGTAACGACGCCACGTCTAGAGGTATCATGGCAGGTATACGATACGTGACCGGAGAGTTAGGGGGGGGGGGGTCACAACGCCACGTCCAGAGGTATTATGGAAGGTATACGCTACGTGACCCAAGAGTTAGGGGTGCGGGGGGTGGGGTCACGACGCCACGTCCAGAGGTATCATGGAAGGTATACGATACATGACCCGAGAGTTAGGGGTGCGGGGGGTGGGGTCACGACGCCACGTCCAGAGGTATCATGGAAGGTATACGGTGATATCGATACCTTACCCGAGAGTTAGAGCGGTCACCACACCACGCCCAGAGGTATCATGGCAGGTATACGGCATTAGATCGGCTGCTGGGTCAGGAAGATTGTAGATGGCGGTCGCTGGGAAACGTGCTCGCAATCCCACACGATTCGTTGTTGTCAGAGTCCACATTGCCAGCATCAACTCACCGATCTACTAGGTAGAGACATACAGACGGTCTTGGCCATGGTCTAATTTATGATTCGCGAACATCGCGCTCACCAGTGCCACAGGCACTACAACTACCATCATCATCGTCCTGACGCTAACCTAATTAAAATGTTGTCATATTTGACAGGAGGTCATAAAGTAGACTTACCCCGATGGTTGTTACAATGCCACACTGTGTTATTGAAGGTTCCCCAATCTACCCCAAGACTGTAGGGTTGACCTCTGCAATCACACTTGAAAGAATAGAGCTGGCCATCTTTTACACACCTGAAACACCTGTTGCGATGCTGCAGGAAAGTGACGATGACTTTATAATTAGAATCAAGAGCGTATAAAGAAGACCTTCTTTATACGCTCTTGTTAGTATGTATGTGGTTAAAAATCATCACACAGGCATATATACGCGTTTATGCATGCCCTTAGCTTTGACACATCCTCAGTAAAAGACCCCCGCGGAGGAGTACTCTGCCATATTATATAATGTTTAAAATATTCTAGTATTTAATGCTTTGGATATTTACCAAGCGAAGAACAGTCAGTAAACGTATATAATGGGATCACCCGATTATGTTGCGGTTCAATCAAATAGCTGCATTTGTTTTTTGTTTTTTTGCCTAAATCGTTTACTTAATAGTAACTAATACACTACATTATCCGAACGTACGTACTTTTAACTGTATTAAGCACATATAATCAGTACATTGGTATGTCTATGCCATTATTATTTATTACTAAAACTAAAATAAATATTTAAACATTTTTTTCACAGTGCAATTACGCTAACAAATATCAACACACTAGAACATAACATCTGGTCGCAAAATCAATTCTGTTGACTTATTAATCGCTATTGTGCTGCAGCGACCCAATATTTTTCTTACATTATATTATTAATTACGCATAATTTAAATAATCGATCATTTTTAATATACTAGTATAAAAAACGACTAAAAGTTTGCCACCATGTATGGAAGACCATATATCCTTTTAATCAATACTATTAACATCTTCGCTGCCAGTCGACTAGCTGGAGGCTAGAAAGAAGCCGATTCCCAGAAAGAAACAAATTAGGTAGCGTCCATTATGTCCATCGTATAGCCAGACGTCGGTGGTGAAACTTCTATCCTCTCCTAACATCTGTTGCTACTAACTTTAGACGGCTGGAGAACCCCCATTGATTTTCTTCCTCAAAACGGCAATAAGGCGCTTGTATCTGTAAGAGTAAAAGATTTATTTAGGTTTCAATTTCCACACAAATGGGGGCCGTCAGTAAAGACTGCAGACCCCTCGCCATATTTTTGGTTTATATATCAGCAGCAGAAGTGTCACCAGCATAATTACCATCGTCGTCATCATCATCATCACCATCACCATCATCATCATCATCATTAGCAGCAGCAGCGGTAGCAGTGACAGGAGCAGCACCAACAACAACAATATCATCTGCATAGTCATCCTCACTATCATCATCATCATCATCGTCATCATCAGCTGCATCATCTGCATCGTCGTCGTCGTCGTCGTCGTCATCGCCATCATTGCAGTAATCCGTCTTTCATGTCGGTGTGAATTGCTGCGGTGTGGCCAACATCATTGCCATGCCCGACACGGCACCTCGACATACGCGAGGGACAAAGGCACGCCTGCTGGCCGGAGACACAGCAGCTCTGTTTGAACACTGTGACGCGAGCGCACGAGTGAATGAGTTTATTTCAGAGAGTGTTCAACATCACTGTTTGGCTTCTTGCTTGAATTACCAGTTGTATTAAGACATGAATTTCATTGATTCGTGAAGTGCTTACGAGTTGATGAGTTGGACACATATTTGCTCAGAGTTGGCCACTAATTACTGCGATAGATGCAAGGACGGAGAATAAACCGCTATCTCCATGGCGATGCAGCGTGGTTTTCACTATCACCACGGCGATTCTGCAACGCAGCCGATGCAATTATGCTATTAAAATAGCCATTTGCTTGTCACAATATTAAACGCGTTTTCGTATATTAGTTTATTCTAGCAAAAAATCGCCCGCCTATTTCGTTCGCGCTTTTCTAGTGCGCAGATCTGGCAGCATTTAATCAAGTCAGTAGACACAGCCTGAAATTTGTAAGAAACTTTCTCGGCTCTTACATCATACTGGCAGCTCCCGCTTATAGCACGTCAGCTGCGCAGGGAGTGTGTGCGGTTATCGCAACAGCGCGGATGATCTGTTCATTAATGCAGAAGCGGCAGTTATGACAACTAATCGGTGGATATTACCTCTTGTTTACCCAAGATGATGAGATGCAGACTGAAGGTAATCATGAATCTACAGCGTCTAATTTCTTCTTGCCTAATTGGTTGTTTTAATCAAGTGCGAGTTTATTCTGTTTCCACAGCCCAATGATTCAGAATCTAATGAGATCGGCTAGTGAATAGAAGAAGAAAAAATTTAAGCAGGGGCATGTCTTACCCGAAAGCAAACCATAGCAGAAATGAAAGCAGACCGCTTTGAATAAAGCAAATGAACGCCTCCCACAATTCCCTCCTACAAGATAAAGAAACTAACCTACAATGGTTTCATAATGAAATCACAGTAAATTTACAATCTTGACATCTACAAAAATGTGCATACACTAATCTCGACTTTTATTACCAGAGGAAAATAACGGAAGGTCTTCATTTGCGTTGTTTTTCTCTTGATTTTTTGCACCGTAGCAATGACTGTAGTTACTGTGGGGAATTTTTATTATGCTTAGTCATTGAAACAGATATTTATACGCATCAAGAATGCAGTTCTTTTGGCCTGCTTTCCACCTAACCCACATAAGCGAGAAATCAACGTATTACACATTTAACAGAATTAATCTCATGTATATTTTTGCCCCATTTTAAAAAGAGTAGGGAAGGTTAAAATAACTATATACAATGCTTTAGCCCTCATCTTAAGGATCAAAATGACAGGATATCTTCGCTTGCTCTCTGTATCGGTGAGTACGTGAGTCCTTTCGTTGGAATGTTACGATAAGTGCTGCATCTCGTAGTCTTCCTGACATCAAGCACAAATAGAGACCAAGGATATGTGACCGAGAGACAATATTGTGATTGACAGCCATCATCATGGCGGTACCGCAGCAAACCAATGCCACTCCCCTCTGTACGCGAAATCTTATTCTAATACCCGGGTTATGAAAGAGGTAGCACCAGGCTTTGCCCGCAACATGTCAATGGCGATGTAAAAGCTATACAGACGGTCTAAACGCAATCCGGACTAACGAGTTTATTGCACGTCATTTTGACGTGTACGTTACTAAACTCCACCGTGGACAGCTTTCTCCCGCAAGGTAAAACCTTCGCGCACATTATTAAAGCTTGCTTGCGGAGCGCAACCTTCTACTGCCAAGAGTAGCCGATGATATAGCCAACTAGACAAATCCCGACAAGCGACAATACATCTAGAATGCAGATACCATACAGAGTAGGGCACATAATGAGGCAAAATCCAATCGTCTTATCTTACTGCTCGAATAGGGACATTTTGACGCCGGTAGGCATAAGAGCTTAGTCGTCCGCGCGTCGCTTTATCTCTTCCCCCCATTTGCGGCCATACAATGTCTCCGCCGCGGCGCTTAATTTCGTGCGTTTGTACTAAATATCAACTTGTAACAGTTGGAATCTTGTTGGTGAGCTGTTTATCAGAGATAAACCATTTAGCAGAGCAGAGCAAACAACTTCTCTCCGCTGCCTCTGATGGCGGACATGTTTGGACACATCGCTATATAGCCAAAGAATACACACGCCAGTATTTGTCGAGAACTCTCGGCTTACAGTGGCCGCCGAGATGGGCTTCACCACGCGCCCTAGCGCACAGCCTCGCTGATTAGATGGCGTTCTATTGTTTTCAACGCGCGCAGCCATGGCAACGCCGTCGCCTGCCGGTGCAGCGTCTGATCCGATAAAAAATGAGGAAGGAAAGCGAAGACTGAGTAAACAGTGCGCTTTCTGACGTTTTCATTTATTAAAATGCGTATGCGAGATTGCTATTGATGGAAGCCACAGCTCTGTGCACCATGCACCTACTACTGCAAGGTATCCTACCAAAGCTCTGTCGCTGTGCAAACAGAACATCGCCCAGTAAAAGATTTCCACTATTTTTCGCTAGCATGCCAAGTACTGCCGGACAGGCAGCGGCATCGGGGTGGACAGGTTAGGTTTAGGATTGGTGGGAACGTTAACAAAACCTGCAATATTTAGTCAAACCGAAGATACACCGTACTAACCTCTCACTACCACTGGACTACGTTCGCAACTTTTTTTGTAATCAACACCCAATCGCTAGCATCTAGTTTGTTAGCTGGTGGCCTCTGTCACCATTCTCGTTATTGTAGCAAATTGACCAGCCAACGGGAAAGTTTGTTAAAGGCTGTAAGATCGAGCCAATTCGGCGCCGGACATTTCTTCCTAGTTACCAGCGTCGTTTCTTGCTGCGATTCACAAAATCAATGCTTTTAGCTGCAAGACAGATACTGGAAAAACAGTGCCTGCATCCGTCCGATTCACAGCGGGACGAAAATTTGCCCGAAAGCCAAAACCGTGCAAATAATGTAGAAAATTATACCAGCCTAAGTAAGTGATATCAGTCAATCAGAAAGGATATTAGTTTCTGCTGGGGCGAAAAAAGAAAAGTTACAATTAAGAGGACGCTGCCAATGTTCCACGGCGTTTAATTTGAAATTTAATGAAAGATTGACGAAATTTTAATTAAAATAGTTCCCATGTTTTAATCCCCGCTTTTATTAAAATGCGCTTTATTTCCTCATCATATCTCCTTACTGGAGGAAAAGCCTTTGGCAGGAAACATCAATGTAAGAGTAAAGATCAAACATAAATGAGCCGCTATAAGTATGTGCTGGTGATGATGCTAGTTATCAACGTCCCCCGATCAAAGGCGACCGAAGGTGTACGAATGTAAGCAATATTAAAACTGCAGTTGCTGTCATCGTCACTAGCACTAATTATCGATGCTGCTGACACAATGGTGCCATCGCACTATCACCAACGTCAGAATCACCATCATCGCTATCGGCATCGTTAGTATCACTATCATCTGTATTACCATCATCGCTATCAGCATCAACATCATTAGCGTCGTCACTATCACCATCAACATTATCAACACTTCCGCTATCACCATCGTCACTATCAATATCGCTGCCATCACCTTCGTCACTGTTATCATCGTCGCCATCAGCATCGTCATTATTGCCATCACTGCTCTCACCATCGCCACTAGCACCATCAATACTAAAGACGCTGTTCTTACAACACGTAACGGACTCCACAGATACAGAGCGATCGAACCAGTGAAGCTTCGAGAGAACATTTCAGCAAACTTTAGCACCGCGCGAGGTAAGGCGCTGGAAAACATACACGAAAAATTATGCTATGAATTTCTTTCGTATGTTCTCGTTTCTGTTGGAACGACTTCTGTGTGTGGGCCGCTGCCAAGTAACAAGGTAGGCTTCGTGTTTGCCTGCGCCTGTCAATTATTGTGAGGTATTGCAACGTTCGACAGTCACACCGCTTCTGCAAATACATTTTACGAATTTTCAAAGCATACGCAGCTTTCAATAGAAACTGCCATGTCATTCATAAGGTTACCACCTCGATCGCTATTATGCGGAGACATTCTCTTACAGACAGCGTCTAAATGTTAGTGTCAGACGTGTCAACAAAACTAAATGTGTGTTCCCGGCGCAAACGCGCAGGTGGAGACAATGTTTGTGCATGCTGCCGTATTTGTCGTGAGGACATATCTAAAACAATGCAAACAAATTCGCGCGCCGGTAAACATTGCGTAAATATGAACAGCAAAACTAAATGCAGTATTCCCCTCCATTGGTTCTCTCCATTTATCAAGTTCATGACTCGACTGTAACCCCCCCACCCACACACACACACCTCGCCCCGCTAGACATTGGCAAGTTTACTTAACAAGACAAATGTAAATTTGCATGGATAATATCGTACTTGCAACAGCGTACGTTGCTAATGGTTACTAATAGATTGTTATCGCAATATTTATACCAGCATATTGTTCAATTATTCACACATTGCTTGCGAATTCCCACAATGGCTGACGCGCACCACAGAAGATATTTTGATACAAAAAATTCGGCGTGGAATAATACGGACAAGGTACACAAATGTGCACGGCGTAAAAGCGGACACATTTATTGTGCATTCAAGCGGGCTGGTAACCCTGGATGGCGTAAACCAATGTGCCAAAGCCCCGGTGTCCTTGCGCAGTTGATAAATAAAACATAACCATTCATAGAGTATGGTAATATGTCCACAAAGTAACGATTGGCACCAGTGAGTGCAAGGTAGATTGTTTCCACGTTTATTTATATAAATAAGAATATCAGAATCATATCAAAAACAAGATTGAGATTAAAAAGATGACGAAGTAGAAGATGATCGAAGCAGATGAATTTGATGCCGACGATGATGATGATGATGACGACGAAGAAGAGCAAGGAGAAGACGAATAAGAGGGATGAAGTTGACAACGAAGAGGTAACAAGAAAGAAGCAATGAGAGGCGTGAATAAATAAATATCCTGCTGAATTCGTACAAGATCCTAATTTTGCATTACCTTTAATGATGAATATATTACAATTTATATTAAATTTCATGATCACAGTAACATTGAACCACTGCATGGGTGAACGTCACATGTGGTCTGGGAGGACATTTGCCAATCTAACAAACATGACGATACACAGTCAAAGTAAGCAAGCTCCGTTCACAGCACGACCACAGACCGCGCGTGTCTTCATTCTATGCGGGCTCTCAATGTCTTCATGATAATTTAGCAACGTAACTATTTTACAATCACATTGGCACTTTACCACTTCTAAGGTATTTGCATTAACGCGCATGGCCTATGTCACCACGCCAGTCACAAAGACATTGTACGGGATCGGTTTCCTTCGAACGCTACATAGAGATAATATTTCGAGAAATTAGAAGAACCTAATGAGACTATCTTATATAGAAACCAGTCCTTCACTGCTAACGTGGCGTCAAATACATTTTCTGAGGGCCTGGAAATTAACTGGAAGAGGAATCACACCTCGTAGTGCTCGCCCTATGCCTCTTGCCCCACTTTAAATGTTAAACAGAGGTTTGCGAAAAACAGGACATAGGGAAAGCGTAGCTGACGGCAAAAGAAAGGTGCTTACTTCTCACAGCTGTCCTGCAGCTCGCTCTTCTCCGTAGTGACCCTCTCCAGCTGCATGGCAGTCTTCTCGCGTGCCGCAGCTGCGCTTCTCATTGCCGCCACCAGGTGGTTGTTGTCCTTCACTGTCACCTTCTCTACGCTGTCTTTATATCGCAGCTGAGAGCCGAGACTGTTGAGAGTGCTGTTGAGCTGATCACACAGACCTGCCTCGTTCGATAGCGACTTGTGCAGGCTGCGAAAAAAAACAAAGAGAGCTCATGCAATAACCGAGAATCGACGAGTAGTGATTAATGACCAGCGCAGCAGATGATTCCCGTTCTGAGTGACAATCAATCATTAAAAATAACGCGTAGGGATTGAACTAAGGTTTTAACAAAACATGGTGCGTTGATGAATCGTCAGGAAAATGGAAATGTAATCTAGAAACTTGTATATATGCAAGTAAGCCTGTGCATGTATGTTTATGTGGTTCAATGACCATCTCAAATTGATTGCTAACTGTTGGTATATGTTCTAATGTGGCAATTCTTACTAGGACGTGTGATACCTGATATTCGTAAGGCGTACTTAAAAATTGCCAAAGCCTTAACAAGTGATATTTTTGCTTATTATTAAGATTTTTTAGTGCATCAAATTAACAGAAAACAGAGGGGTAGATTTAAGCATTATCAGGCTAAAACAGGTTTTTTTTAAATTACCCTACATACTAATTTTCGTTGTTCAATAGTAATTAGATGTTAATAAATCCTTGACTTTAAAACGTGCCGATTGGTAGTTATTTATAATATCGGGTTGCAGCACAGCTGATAGGGCTGCCTCTTGTGAGGATGGGGTAATGCTATCCCCTGGGCGTGGAGTGCTACCGCAACGTGGCAGCACTAGTATTTGGATTAATATTATTAGTATTAGTATTAGGTAAGGGTTAGGGTTAGGGTTAGGGTTAGGGTTTTTGCATCATGATATCTGTCCCCACACCACAGATTAATTTGTGTGGATGACGCCCCTATATATAGCGATCCGATATATATATATATTTAGTGTTAGGGTTAGTGTTGGAGTTAGGGTTACACTGTATCCCTTAGTCTGTGTGGCTACTGTTAAGTTTTGAAGTATACGTCAACTGTATCACGTTACTCTCACTCCACGTCCGGGGGATAGCAACACCCGTGAGGATGCCTTATGTTGTGCAACTGATGATGACTTCTTTGCCATATTTCATTCTGGAAGCTTATAATTAAACAAGTTTTTGAGTTTATTAACAGTTTCACTCGAACTATGAATGAACAATGAATGAACTATGAATGAACTTGAACTATGAATGTTTACAATGTAAACAGCAGCTAGAAATATATATGTTAGATCTAGCATTTCCCGGTCCATTTCTGTTTTAAAACTTGCTAAAATTTCAACATTATATATTTCATCACCACTAGACGCAGCACATCCATACATATCGCACCGATTTCAAACACTAGCAAGATTTTAAGGCAGGTAATTATTCACTTTACAGTGATATCAAATACCGAAGAGTGGTATGTAGCATAATTAAAGCCCAATTAACTTAAATAATGCTTAAAACAATAATATAGTTGAATTAAAGGGGTACAGCACCCTAAAATGTTAGTATATTATGATAGCAAGTGCATAAATAATAGTATATACCTACAAATTCCTATAATCATGCAATCAAATTTTTTTTTAAACAGTGAGCTTCGAAATCTTTTTTGGCTGCTGACATAATGCCCCACGATTGTGCCACCACCCATACAAAGTTGCGCTTTTTCCGATTTAATTTGTACGTTACAGAGCAAGAGCTAATCACAAAAGTGCAATTATATTTATATCTAACTGCTATTTAACCAAACGATTTTTATTTTAGGACAAATTGGTCCATATTATAACTGAATCTAAAAGTTGTTTATAAGATATTGTAATCCTTCTCCTCGTAAATTAATAAAAGAAGAAACACCCTCGGTCTGTAGCCTGCAGCCTGAAAACAGATGGGCTAGTAGTGGCGCCACCGTCATTGTAAGCAACGATACAGCCGTTAGTTTTAAAACATTTTTTAAAATTCTAACATTTCGAATGAATATGGAACAGTGAATTTTTTTATGTAGTGTAATTTAAACCTACTTTAACTGGAAATACGTAAGGAAGCTATAGGGTCATGTATCCCTTTAAAACTATGTATTGTCTGTTGAGATCGTTTTATTAAGTGCGATATCAAGTATGATCAGCTATAAAATTTTTCAAACACACTGCAACCAGTTCGAAGTTAACTATCTTTAATGAATTAATTGTAACCAGTTGTATTTTAGATTTGCCTTGGAGAATCGACGCTGAATGCATGTATATGCTACGTGACCACATTACACATATATTCGTTTTTGTCTTACTTGAAACACTTTGTATTACTTTTTTTACCATGAGACCATGAGTCATCCAAACCTACTCCTAGATACATGGATAGAACAAGGCTATCAGGCGAGCCAAGTACGCTGCCAGCTGCAGTGATCTACAGGTGGACAGCAACAAACACAATGAGGACCAACTGCGTTCAGGCTAGCTGAACATTCAAGCAGAAGAATGCTTTGTGGAAGAGCGCAGTTTCAATCATCTATCATTTCAATAATAAGATATCCGATTTCGGGGCGCATAAGCAAATGTAGGGGAGTGGAAACACGCCCCTCCTCCATAGAGAGTAGAGAAATTACCAAGGAACACACCTCGTGTTGACCCTGCCAAGCTGTTGTAATGAGCACACAGATTACAGGACAATATCCTGACCAGAGTCTGGCCATTGTGCATTGTTTTGCTCGTAGACAATGTCCCTTTGGGCTCTGACTGAAAACAAACACTGACCAGGACAAATTAATAAGGTTCAGAAAGTGCGTTTGCATAAAGTCTCAGCAGACAGGCTAGCCGGTCAACACTACTTGGCCAGCGAGAGCTCTCAATCTCTGGCTGCTGCAGGAAATAGCAGCAGCTTGGGAAAGCCTGCCCCGAGTCGTAAACAGAAACACATACATGGATATTGTTGGAGATTTCTGCTAGGATGTTTGCCGATGTAGTTACCTAGTTGCTAGCTCCTTATATGCCCTGTCTAGAATAATTACAGTCATGTCTTTTCATGCCAATTGCCCACAATGCCTTTCCTTCTATCGCCAGCGACACTCGCAGGTTGTAAACCGTATCCTCGTGTAATTTTCGCCGTCGATGGTACTGGTGCTGCTAAATACCGTGAAAGAAATCTCATCACTGACACACAATGTAAAGAATTGCCTTGAGCCAATCTTCATCAGTGCCAGATGCTATGAAAGAAATCTTGGTCTAAACAGCCATCAGGGTTCGGGATCCGGGTATGTATCACAATGATGACATTCTATTAGGCGAAGAAGAATGTTGAAGAATTAAGGGGTACATCTTCGAAGCGACTGTCGTCGGTGCAGACCATGTACTGAAGGGGCACCAGTGGATGTGCAAGGATGAATGTAAATAGAAAAGGAACGAGGTGTACCATACACTTACTAAGTGTTAAAGGTGCCAAACAAATCATAAAAGACACATGGAAGAGTGTAGGAAAACAGCTGAAATATAGTGGCCATTGACGACTATGCCTGCTAATACATTCGGCCCTGTGGTAAATGGCATATGCATATCTATTCGCATTACCTCTTCACACATCTTATTCAAGAAATGGCTGCTAACTGCGAGGTATTTTGAATGGGCCTGCCCTTGCTACTATGGCCAAGTTCACTAGTGCAATGAGTGTCGCCAATGCATGATGTAGTCCCTTACAAAGGTCACCGGATGAACCGTAAGATTGTGCGATGACGCACTAGTGAGTCAATAGTGACTAAGATCCACAGCATCTCTACTCCACCTCTGACTGGGTTCTTTCTGACACTCACTGCTGAGCCAATAAGTAAGCCCTCATCATGACCCATTACTATGACAACAACCAGGCTAGGAACTTCCCCGTGAAGATGACGCATCACACTGTCCTGAGATTTACCAGCGATGCTGCGTCCTGTGTTTCAGCGCCACCCACTGTCGGCGGTGACCATCTCTCCTGCCAGGTCGACACATTATTGGCAATATTTACCATCGCCCGATCAAACTGTAGAGTGTAAACCGCTTGGTTACCTACAATAAATTTGCATAGGCAACTTAGGAAAACAATGGCAGTTGCGAGGGCGCGCTGAGAGGGCGATAACGGAAACAGTGCGAGTGCAGCGCTTTCCCTGACTGCGCCCGCTGGTAACGAAAGCAGACGCTCTGTGCACCGTGCCGCCCCCGCCGTCAAAAAACAAGATGGCGGCTAGGATAAACATGAGGTCGCGCAGGCTAGACAAAAGGGCTGGGCGGGCGCCATGTGCGGCGTATCTCAGTATGAGTCACCGTGGCGACATGATCGATTGGTCGGATGGCTAGTCGCGGCAACGTACGCAGAAACGCTCATGAGTAACAGAGTGACGCGCTGCGAAATTCTCTCCTTCTCAGCCGCGCCTACAACATATCCGTGTCCATTCATCATTAAGTATTCCGCATTGGCGCCACCAATTTAAAACGCATACGAGAGTGACCGTGCAAATATACAAATTTACCGAACAGTTGTGGAAAAATCCAGGAGCCCCATCTATGGTATATGTTTCAGATTAATTGATATCTTGCATTATATAAAAAATTCCAGGAAATTATGCTCAGTGATGGGATTCTATCTCTAATATGGCCGAAATCAGCACATCTTTTTGGGCTCTATATATTCATATATACACACACACGCATGTACGCACGCATGCACGCACACACATATATATGTATGTACATGGGATGTACATGTATATATATATATATATATATATATATAGATATGTATATATATATATATATATATATATATAATAGATATGTATATATATATATATATATATCGGTTTTCCAATAGTTGTCCGCAAGCTCATGCCCCTGAACATGTCGCCGAACGCAGGTTTTCAGTAACTACGAGCGACATATACTGCTATCCATTGAGAGATCCGGATTTGCACGAGTGCAGTGTAAACGTGCAAGGGCGGCTTTGGTATCAGTTCGAGTAGATAACAGAATTCTACCAGGCGATCACTCTATGATGGCTATCTGTTAGAATCTTAGAGTTGTATGCGCTGGTGAAGAAACAATTCAGCTATGACATGAGATTTTAATTGTGACGTCATCATAAACTATCAGTAAGGTTACTACTGTCATATTTTCTTGTATAAGTTGTTCACGCTTGATTGACTTGAATTCAGTCTTTTTTTTCAACCGATCTGCCAAATTTGATATATAACGTTGCTATGACGCGGGTTTACACGTCAGTGCTTCAAACCATCATGTTTAGATCTAACCAGGTACCAGTTATAAGGAAAGAAAGTAGCCATTTTCCACACAACATAACATATATATCAATTTTTCTATTTTATATGCGTATTACTTTTTTTTTTCAAAATATGTTTGTGTGTATTTATGTGTGCACATACATTATTATAAAATAAAAGTATAAATGATTAAATAAATAAAATAAAATAAATATATGTGTATTTATTTATTTTTTCATTTATGTGTAGATGTGTGTGATCATTCTTAATATTTGTAAGGTGCCCCGATACTGACAAATTATCCAATTGATTAAATAGCACTAGTTAAACTCAGGAGAGCAGCAAGGACATGTCATTATTATTATTATTATTATTATTATTTTCACTATTATTACTATTATTATTATTATTATTATTATTATTATTATTATTATTATCGGTGGCCGTGTAAAAGGAACTATAAGCCAGTACATTTCTTACCACATTATATTTTCCTTTTAAAATTGTGCCATATTTATGGATTCGAGATTTACATTTTAAATTCTCATAAATATAGTCATAAATATCTAACCTGTAGTGAATTTTTGCCGTTTCTAGTTCATCCTCCAGGTGTCTAACTCTCTCCAAAGCGTCATCTCTCTCTCTCCTCGCCACATCTAACTGTTTCTGCAAATAGAAAACACCCCACGATCACACCCCAGTTCAGCGATTCACAACGGAGACGTTATCTGCAGAAATTTTGCGCAAAATAGTAGCGTACATAATTTAACAATAAATGTTCGAATTTTTATTGGCGATCAGTCACCACTAATAACCTTGCGACCTTGAAACTGCCGCGTTCTACGTCATATCACATTTTCAGTGGATGCATGCATACGCTACGTCGTGTGCTTAATCATTCCTCTTCCTAGCTTAAAATGGCCTCGTCATTACTCTACCCGGCAATTAATGTCATGAATATAAATTTTATTTTAAAATGTCAATTATGCATCGTATACTATAAAGCCTCGGAATGTATTAAGTTATGCGTTTGGCGTAATTGTAGCCTACTCGAAGTACTGAAATAGCTACTACTAACAGGAACAATAATTTTAATCAGGTTTGCAATAGTCGCATCTTTTTAAAGGATGTTAATAAATGCACAGCATATTAATTTTTCACGGAGGAGGATAATATGAGGGCTCAACAAAAATATGGAAAATTCTATTCGACCACAACGGCTTCCTTAACGGCAAACACATCCTGAATGCGGCAATGTTACAATAGATCGGAGAATTTATTGCGAAAAAAATCCCCATCGCATTAAAGTCAAGAAATTATTACACCGTGCCTATTTGCCAGCATGGCCATAGCGATAGTGTTTGTAATATTTATAACATACAACTTAATTATGGGATTCCGTGAAAATATTTTGACGCCAGATTAACATGTTCTCACAATGCATAACGGAGAACCAGCCCTACCCTGTTTTCCTCTTACCCCAAAGAAACAGACGGCAGCATTCTTGACTTTAGCAAGCCATGAACAGAAGAAAACCTTCGCATAGGCATGCGTTCACATGCTGGACGCAAAATGCAAATAGACGTCGAAAAGCTTAATCCGAACAAACCAAACACCTGCCGTTTGCTGAGCCAATGTTTTCAAGCGTTTTGTTAAATGTGTGCAAACTGAGCGAGCATAGACTGTCCAGGGATAAAATTGCCAGTATCACCCCACCACACAGATATAGCTACATCAATAACAACATTATATATAAATATATATATATATATATATATATATATATTATGTATGTATGTGTGTATATATATATATATATACATTGGATGGTGAACGATGCTTCATTGGACAGTGTGGCAGAAAGGCCTAAAACCACACTAGCTGCTAATATCATGCAACAATAATTATTATTCAAAACATTCCAGCAGATTATTTCACCGCACAGATACCTCGCGCGCATTGGAGCCGGTACAGCAATGCTTTCATCTTTTCAGAGCGCGAAATCCAGAGCAAATATGCTATACTGTTAAATGTATTTGTGCGTGCAGATATAGACGATAGAGCTCTGTTTGCGCGTGTGTGCGTTGTGTGCGGGAAGCACACGCGCGTACGCAACCGCGCGAAAATTATTCATTTAATTTTTTTTTAATCTTAAGCACGAATCTCGACTATCCGATGCTCATATAACCAAGAAAGCCGTTATAGAGGATCCCCTATATCCACGGTAGTGTGTCACCACCACATGACTACTAAACTACACCAGCTAATCCACCGATCGACGTCCAAGACTGTGTACATGAGATGGCGTAAAGCAATACGGCACACGTTTCAACCGAAGGGGACCGAATATCAAATTAATATCAATCACCGTAATTAAACACACGTCGCCGTCTCTTGTCACCAGTTACCTATCATAGTATGTCGTGTGCAGGTAGGTTGCGATCCGCCGTATTCCGACGGATGGGGAAAAATACGCGGCACCGCACAGTGCAATTGGACAGCGACCGCGTGTGTGTAAAGCCAGCGCGACTATGGCGCGACTATGGCGCGTAGACACAGCATGCGGAATCTCATGCATTCACGTGAAGAAGTATCGGTTATGCCAAAATGATTTTCAGTAAAGCTCTGATGTTGCGTAGAGAAACACATTAAAATTCATATCAGTGGGGGACATTTCGGTATATAATAAATGCTATGTCCGACTGAATAATTTTCAGCGTTGATATACGCATTTCGTTTTATAATATTTTAGATTCCCTGTCCAAAATGCTGGCGAATATTGTGTATTTCCTCTTTTATCGACATCACTAAGACATAATTTAAATAAAAGTTGCATATCATTTTTTACCACTGAATCACTTGTCAAACATGCTTAGAAATGTCAAAAAACTGGTTATGCATTTTATCTTAATTATAATAAATCCCTCTATGTGTACGTATTTTGAGTGAGCATGCAGGGGATTAATATATATTTACTACTATCACGTTCAATTTATATCATAGGCCCTACTATATAGCTTAGAACTGGTCACTACATCAAAATCTGACAGTCAAAGTGAATACATTTTTACCAACCTCTATTTGTCTAAGTCTTACAATTGATGGACTTTCAATAACAATGTATTCCGCCTCAATGAATGTGCGCGCGCGTGTGTGTGTGTGAGTGTGTGTGTAAGTGCGTTCGTATGTGTGCGCGTGTGTGCGTGCGTGCGTGCGTGTACATTGCGTTGTTGTGAAGGCAAACAGGCTACGGCGCGCACATCGCAAACATATCCATGTGCGTACATATATTCACGAACGCACGCGCGCACGCACGCACGCACGCACGCACGCGCGCACGCACGCACGCACGCACGCACAACTGCGGCGGGGAGCCTTCCCCGTGTACGCAGCGTTAGCGGCGCTGTCGCCGCTAGCTCGTGGGACAAAACGTGATGTGTGCCGTCACAGGAGGGCCCACTAATGTTTGCGAACACATTAATGGCTGGCATGTTTGTCGACGCTATACCCTACCTTACCCTACCTGCGCGCTGTCTGGACACGCTCAGGTAAAAACCTGAATGCGCGGCGGCGTCGTTTAACAGGTTCGGGTAGGAGGGCGGATGTGACGGAGCCCTCGCGAACTCGATTGCTCTATTTCGCTGCATCATTCGCAGTGAGGTATTTTCTGTTTTATATTCTTACCACACTGTTAGTGCCACTATATTCATACCCCACTTATATTACCACACTGTGTTCGCAGTGTGGTATATTTTCTTTCGGGGGTCCCCACGCGGCCCCAGTACACATAGTCCAGTTGTCGTTGTGCATGCACTGCTCGCATATTTCGTTATAAAGGTAATCATTTTTTAGGCAACTTTATATTGCACTATAGATGCACGAACATGCAATATAGACGCGTTTTCTGGTTTCAGCGGCTGGCCAATGAACTAATTATATATATATATCACCACAAAATAAAATATTATAAACTTTTGCACAAGGTGTGAAATATCATTCGTCCCAGTCTGTTGCTGTCCAAAGATAGCCGTCGGCCAAAATAAAGTATAGTCCAATAGTGTCGAACCCTATTTGGAATGACCTGGTTGTGATTACATGCACGTGTCTACCGTATATAAACCTTATACCCTATGACCAGCAACTCACCATGATCGCAGAACTGAAATACTACCAATACAATACAAACACACACAACACAATTCAGTACACTACAAATATAGTACAACTACACATAACAAATACTAAATAATATTTTCCCACGAGAATCTGGTTAGCACACACGCGCACGCACGCACGCACGCACGCAAACACACACACACACACGCGCGCAAGCACACGCACACACACACACACACACACACACACACACACACACACACACACACACACAACACACACGCACGCACGCACACTATATATATATATATATCTTTACAATAAAGTGGCTAATCTTGTGTGTGTGTTTGTTTGACCTCGCTTTCTCCTGTGAGTTTTCCACTTCATCGCGTCCTGGAAACTATGAAGACTACCACCTTGCAGGGAACTGTGGGGTTCTGGCTGGACAAACCCAATTTAAATAAATAGTACAAAAAATGGGTAGTATTAAGTCAAAACTTCAATTATCAACTCGTCGGAATTATCGCGCGTTTTTGCACGCCACGAGGTGTCGGTAGGACGCTGCGGTCTTCATATGCGAACAAAAAATTCTCCTTACTTTTTTGACTCTTTAGTATGTACTTCGCCGCAGCTTCAGCCGTTATTTTCAATATTTTCAAAGTAAATTTATTACATTCATTAACAAAATCTTGAAAAAGTAAAATTGGAAAAATTACTTTACTATTTTTTTTACGTATGTATTATTTATTATTATTTTCATGTCTTTTATTTTATATTATATTTTTATTGTTTGGGCATTGGATAGAAGACGATGGTATGCGGATGGGATGGGATGGGATGGCATGGGGTGGCATGGTATGGGAGCCCGGATGGGATTAGGATGGATGGGATAGATCGTTGGATGGGATGGCATGGCAATGCATGGACATGGCGTTGATGTGGGATGGATGGATGGATGGATATAGATGGAGGTATGGATGGCTGGTATGAGTGGATTGGATGGAATGGATGGCATGGATGATGCATGGATAGATACATAGATAGATAGATAGATAGATAGATAGATAGATAGATAGGTAGATAGATAGATAGATAGATAGATAGATAGATAGATAGATAGATTTTGCGGTATTTTCCTTTCAACCAAGTGGTCACCAACTGAGCACTTTTTCCCCTTCTCACTTATAGAATTGCGCTTTGTTTCTGTTTTCTTTTCGGTTGCATGAAATATTTAACTTCAACTGTGTCACTTACATGAAGTTTATATTTTAAGGCACAATTTGTTGGTTGTACGGGTATTAAAGTCTGCTAGTATATATATATATATATATAGAGAGAGAGAGAGAGAGAAAGAGGGGGGGGGGAGAAAGTCGAAGATTAGCTTCAGTTGGAAGTAATCATCTTCTTACTATGGATGCCTGAGCATTAGCGCGTAGAGCAACGCGCGTACATCGAGCCTGTTGTGTCAGCTTCTCACGTTCAGCACAACACAGATTTATGATAAACGGTCGGGCACGGTCAACACCGAGGGTTTTCTCAATTATCATAAT